TCTGACTGCCTTTGCTTCTGGATCCTCATGAAGCAAAGGAGCCCATTCTCTGGCCCAGGCACGGGGCGGCACGAACAGGAGTCTGGGAGCCACTCCTGCCGGCACAGAGCCTGCCAGGCATCTGTGAATGTGACAAGATCGAAAAGGATGCTGAGCAGAGCGCTCGATGTCAAAGCTTTATTGAAGCACGTGGCTCCCCTCCTCCTCGAACCCGCTTGCAGCAGAAGTGAGGTCTTTCTTGCTAGAGGGGTGGTCAGGCACAGAAGCCCACCATCCTCGAGGCAAAACGCCATCTAGCCCGGGGCCGGCCTCCCCCCTTGGGCCTCTTTGGCCAGCCCAGAGGAGGCCTGAGCTGCCAAAAGCACGCCAGGCCCCTCGCAAAGCTCCTCTTGTCCTTTGTGAACGGCAAGGCTGGAACGTTGCTAGGGGGGCGGGGGGTCCCCCGGGCTGCCAGCAGGAGGCCTGCCAGAACCCGGCTATGGGCCCACGGAGGAACACTCTAGATCGGCCGTGCACTGTCCTGTCAGGGCCCAGCGGGTGGGACTGAGCCTCTGCGCGCCAGCCGGAGCTGGCAGGGGTCCCGGCTAGCCGTGCCCAGTGGCCCCCATCCGTCACCCTCGGGAGAGGGGCAAAGTCCATGCCGTGCCCCCCGGGCCTGCGGCACGAGGCGAGCATGAATGGGTGCTGCTGCCAGGCCCCTTCCCGTTCGGTGGCCGGGCCTGACACGAATCGCTTGACCGATGGCTGCTGGGGGCAGGCGGTGGGGTCCCCCATGGCCCGCCGGGACCCTTCCTCTCCCAGCCTGGCAAACGGTGCCTTTTCTCCTTTGGGGCTCCCGTCTTCGTGCAGCTGAGAGGGCTGCTTCACCCCGGGCCTTGTAGCCAAGAGCCCTGCCGGCGCACCTCCCGGCTCTGTCCTGGGCAGCTTCGGCAAGACCCAAGCGGAGTGGGTCGTGGGAGCAAGGAGCGGCGCCTGCAGTGGGGCCCTCCGGCTTGAGGTGCTGCGCAGGGGGCTTCACCTGTGGCATACCTGCCTGGCACGGGACATTCCAGGGTACGGAACCCCAGGCCGGTATGGCGGGCCCACAGAGCAGCCCTTGGCTCAAGTCCATGGGTTGTGGGGCACCCCCCATGGCCTGCATGGGACTGGCTGCAGTGGGGCGCGTCGCCCCGTTCAGCTCTCGGGGCAGCCTGTGCAAAGTGGAAGAGCACGGGGGACACAGGGGGAGCACCATGCCGTGGCCAGCAGCTGTGGCACGTGGTCCCTGGACCAGGCTGGGCCGCGGTGCTTCTGATGGCGCAACAGGTGAGAGGCCGGTGCCCAGCCGGGGGGAGAGAGAAGCAGCTAGGCGCTCCAGGCCTTGTGTCCGGACTGTGGCCCCACGGGCAAAAGCGCTCGCTGATGTTTGACCGGGCGCCACGGCGGCTGGGAGGCCGTTCCCCGAAGCCGCGTCTGTGCAGCACTCGGCTTGCTTCAGCTCGGCCGCCTGGTGCCTGGCGTGTGGTGCTTCCCAGGCGTGCCCTTGGGGGCTGGGGAGGAAAGAGGGCAATGAGGACCAAGTCGAGCTCCTCGGCGCCGGCCCAAGCCTTCCTGCAGCTGCCTTGCTCGAGGCCTCGCCTGGGCCTGGTTGGGGAGCTGGGTGGGGGGAACCTGGGCACCGCTCCCCGGGGAGCCCTGCAGCTCCTGCCCCGGCCTCTCAGCACAGCCTGCCTCAAGGGGGGGAGGGGGGAGCGTAGGAGCAAGAGGAGCGTTATGCAAAACTCCTCTCGGGAAGGAAACGGGGTGCGGAGGCCTCCGGACCCTCCCTGGCCTTCCCCCAAGGGCTTAGCTCACGGGGCTGCCAGGTGCAGGCAGGGCCAGGAAGCCGGGCGGGAGAGGAGGGGAGCACGGCAGCCTCGCTGCCCCGCAAGCCGTGGGATTGCCCGATTGGGAGGTCCGGGCAAAATCCCGCCCAGGGTGGACGCGGCACGGGTTGCCAGCCACCTCCTGCGAACCCAGCCGGTGCCTCAGTCGTGGGGAGCACTGGCAAGCAGACCCCTTGGGCTCACCAAGCCGGGCCTCCTCCTGCGTCGCCAGGGAGGCTTCCCCCGTGTGCTCCTGCCAGGGCAGGAGGGCCACCCTGGCTTCAGGGAGCGTGGCCTGCCCTGCTTCGTGGACTTGGTGGGCGTTCCTGCCTGCTAGGAAGCCCAGCTGCGGGGGGCGCTGGCTCCCCTGCGAGCCCCAAGGATCCCAGCTGCTCCTCCAGGGGCCAGGCGAGCAGCGGCGCTCCTGGCAGCCGCCTGGAGCAGGTGTGGACAGCCCGCCCTTTCTGGGGCTTTCCTCGGGCCACGCGCCTGCGGTGCCCCTGCAGCGCTCGGGGAGCAACCCGGCGCGAGGGAGCGGGGGAACATGGCGGCTGTGGTGATGCAGCAGCGTCTCAGGGAGAGCCGTGGGGGCCGAGGAAGCGGCGGCCGAGGGGCACAGCCCGGAGACGCGCCCTCCCCGTCCGCTGCAGCACCTGGGGTGCTGAGCCACCGTGACGCAGCGGAACTGCTGCCAAAACACCTCCGCTGAGCTCCTGCGTTCGGCGCCAAGTGTTGCCACACTGCGGAGGCTGCACCGGGCCGGAGGCGCGAGGATGTGGCAAAGTCCACTTCCTTCAGCTGCGCGCATGTGCTCGGTGCCGGAGGACGCGGGCAGGGAGGAGGAGGAGGAGGAGGAGGAGGAGGAGGAGGAGGAGGCGGCGGCGGCGATCGGGGCCGGCAAGGCGGGGGAGGCCCCCCTGCCAAAGTCGGAGTGGGAGCGGCGCTTGCGAAACCCGCTGACGTGCACGAGCTCGTCGGGATGGGGTCACGTCTACAGGGCAAGTCTTGGCACCCGCGGAGGGAAACAGCTGCAGGTTATGGGGTGGGAGGAGGAGGGATTCACCGCCAGGCACGTCGCGTGCTCCTGCCCGCTCCCTCCCTGCCCAAGAACGGGGTCCTCTCAGGCCCTGGGACCCCGGCCCGGCCCCCGAGCCCAGCGCGGGGCTCCACCATGTGCATGCCGGGACCCGTGGGCAGAGCGTGCGGTGCGGGGAGGTCGGGGGAGCCGTTGGGGGGCGTGAGCCTGTGGGGCAGCGGGTGCTGATGCTCCCCCGCTCGCCGCAGCTGTACAGTGTCTTCCTGGAGATCATGGCGAAGCTCCCCGGGAGGCACCACGAGGGCAGCCGGT